AATGCGTGGGTCCGACAGGACCAGCGCTTGAGAACAACTGGCTTAGAGCTAATTCATTTCCCAGCACATGTTCTAATGACAGTGGATTAGGGAATGTGGCAGTGTCATCTCTGTATGTGAAGGCTTAATACATCCCCAAGTACCCTTAGAATATAATTTTCTATTCTTTGAGAGCTGATGGTATCATGTTTTCTTGATCTCTGGTCCCACTGCAAGATTGCACCCACAAAATATTCACATTATCTAATGTGTTTACAGATGATCCTCATTATTCTCAGATTCTGTATTTGTGAATTTGCCTACTCCTTAAAATTTAATTGTGATCCCAAAATCAATTCTCACAGTGCTTTTGCAGTCATTCGAGGACATACACACAAAGTAAAAAAAAAATTGACTCACCATAAACACAGCAATGCACATTCCTAGATGAGGTCAGACAGAGCTCTTATACCATAAAAAATGTCCTTCCAATGTACAGGATATTTAGTACTATGTTCTTTGCTATTTTGGTGATTTTTCTTGGTGATTATACTATTTTTTGTTTTAGTTCTTTTTTGGGGATGGGGTGGGGGGGAGTTCTGTACATTTAATCCAGAAGTACTTTACCACTGAGCTATAACTCCAGCCCTTTTTGTTTTTTATTTTGAGACAAATTGCTTAGGGCAACTAAATTGCTGAGGCTTAGCCTCATTATATTACTGAGGCTGACCTTGAACTTGCCATCCTCCTGTCTCAGCCTCCAGAGTTTCTGGGATTACAGGTATGCACTACTACACTAGGTTTGTTGTAGTTTCTTTGTTCTTTGTTTTTCTTACTGCTGGTGATTGAAATCAGGACCTCATGCATGCTAAGCATCTGTACCATTGAGCTACATCCTGGCCCTTTTACACTATTGAAAATGGCCCCACGGGCTGAGGGATGTGGGTCTGTGGTAGAGCACTTGCCTAGCATGCACATGGTCCTGGATTCAATCCCTGGCTCTGGGGGAAAAAAAAGTGGGTCCTCTCCTTTGTGGTTCTGAAGAGCCGTCTAGTATTTCTAAGTAAAAGATTGTGATGTGCCTAACAGAGAAAAAAGATGTGTTAAATAAGCTTCATTTAGGCATGATTTATAGTGCTGTTGTTCACAAATTCAATGTTAAAGAATCAACAGTTCATCATTAATAATATATATTTAAACAGAAATACACATAATTGGTTGAGGAAGATATTATGACCTGAGGCTCCCAATGTTTCAGTGTTCACAGTAACCTCATAGAAGAAGGTAAGCACTGTACGGTATGGGCATCATATATTATAGGGAATCTGAGAGTTTGAAGTGCAGAAAAGAAGCACAAAAATCAAAACATGAAAAAAAAGGAGAATATCTTGAAAATTGACTCAAAGACTTAGCAAATAGATTAATCATCTATAAACTATATGCAAAACTTAGTTATTTCATATGCCAAAATATAGAAAATTGTTGGTGATAGCAATTATTTTAACAGTTCAGCCTTCTCTTACTACCCCAGCAGATAATATTTTGTTTTTAAAAAGTGCATCCAATGCTCCCATCTTCAGCAACACTGTCTGTCCACAACTATCAGATGCCGCAGTCTGTCTGGGCACAAATAACCGAGCCTCCACAAAGCCTTGTAGGTTCAAACAACAACTCTTTATTCCTGAACTCTCACTGGCACTCTACACACACTTCCCGGGAACACACCCTTCACCGTCTCTGCACTGAGCATTCTCAACGGGCGCATTCTCAACAGGAACTCCAAAGTAGGGGGCAACTGAGGCAGCAGGATCCGTCCTAATCCCAGCAGGATCCTCCCTAATCCTGGAGCTGTCCTATTCCCCCGCCCCCAGGATCCGCCCTAATCCTGGAGCCGCCCTAATCCCGGAGCAGGGTCACCTTTCAACCATTCCCTCTAGCAAAATGCCAGGTGTCATTCCGACTGAACTGTGGCTCTCAACAATCAGACCCTCTTTGCCAATAATGCCCATTTCTCATACTCATTGTTTAGGCCTAGTGGAGGAAGGGCCAGGGCCTCCCAGCTGCTGTTTAGCTCACTCTTGTTGTAACCAGAGAACAATGGATCCTTCTAATGGAAGGATGAGAATAATACTCCCATTGTTGGTATAGCAGCTAAAAATGGGGCTCTGAACTTGGGGAACAGTTCTTCCTCTTTTCTTCTGGTTCTGTGCTTTTTCAGAAACATAGCCACCTTTCAAAGATGTTCTATTATGCTGGGAAGCCAGGAGAGGAATCCCACATCCAATACAACCCAGAACCACACACACACACACACACACTAAGAAGGCAAACAAGTGGCCTTGACATTTATTGACTAAAGACAACTCCATCCTCAACAGATTTGGATGGAGAATCCTACAGTTCTCAGTGTAAGCAAAGGCAAACGTGTTAGGGGAGAAGTCCTGCTCACATGGGTCGGAGAGTGGCAGGACTTTCAGTCAGTCAGAACTAAAGATCATTGTCAGTTAAGTGGAATGACACAGTCTAATTTTTCTTCATTTTTATGTTATTGAAAACATGTGATTTTTGTGTACATCGTCAGGGTCTGCAATCTGTATTTTTGACAGTTCTATTACACTTCTGCCAGCTATTCTTTTTTCCCCTTGGGACACTTGATGGCACATTGTGAAAGAGAATGGGAGTGTGTATTTAGTATATATATATACTCAATAGTATGCTTATGGGTTTGGACACTCACCTTTTCTCTTGCAGAACATTCTCTTTGTTGTCAGCCACCACTTGATGGAATAATGTGCTTGTGCACATCTTTGGTATATCGATCTTGTCTCATCTTGATCTGCTTTGTGGCAACGTTTATGTTCTATTAATAGAGGTACTATGTTTGCATTTGAAACGTGCGCTATAATGACCATTCCTGGCAGTTGGTCACTAGGGGGTTGGGGCTTAAATAGTGGGCAGGAGGAAAGTGATATATAATGGGATAACGGAATGGGAACCTGAAGCAATTTTGCTTCAAGTAAGATCCTTTAAATATTGACAATATTCAAAGAACCAACTTCTCAGTCATGTTCTCAACTTATTTTGTTTATTGCCCTTTGATTTTAATGTTGATTAGACAGTTTTTTCTCTGTGATTTGTATTATTTTCTCAGTGATTCTCATTTTTCATCCTCTAGTGCTTCCTTGCTCATTTGCATTGTTCAGTATACACATAGGTATCTGAACCCTTCAACTTCCTTTGGGTTTCCCGCAGCTTCCACAAATCCTAAAAACCTTGTTTGCGTTCAGAGTCTTCATGAAACTCTATATATTTTTCAACAGGGTACATGCTATGTGCATGACACTATTCTAAACAATTTATATTAAGTCATTTAATTTTTATAAGAGTCCTATGAGGAAGATTCTATTATGGAGTCATTAAAAAAAAAAAAGCACAAGAAGGTGAAGTAACTTGACCAAGGCCACCCAGTAAGGAAGTAGCAGAACTAAGGAGACAAATCCAGCAGTCTAGCTCTAGAATCTGTGCTCCTAGCAACCACCCCTAGGTCCTCTTATGCATAGTGAATGACAAAACTTGTACTAGCCCTGCCACATCTCCCCTAATGCCTGTGGCCCTGATCTTCTGTCCTTCCAAAGCTTTCCCTTAGCAGATTTTCACAAAAACTGCTGCAGAGGATATGGTGTTATGACACCAAAACCCGGCTTCAAGGATGGACTTGTGGCCCCAACCTCACTGGTGGAAATGTAACTGAACACTTCAGGGATTGTCTTAGCTATAAATGGCCCCCTAACACAAGGTCAGGCCCTTCCCAAGGCAGCCCATATCCAATTACCAATAAAGGCAGGAGGTATAATGACTCTGTTGTTGCAGCCAAACAGTGGAATAACTTGAGCCATTTTTCATTCCAGAGCTCTCCATGGGGTTGGCAAAGGCTGTCTTCAGGGCTGCAAGCTCCTCCCTCTACTCAAACTGCTCCCTGGCTCTTCTTCTTCAGTTGTTGGTCCTCAGGAAGTCCTTAATAAACATTCCATACACAAGTTTGTCTCAGAGTTCCTTTCTTTGAGAGCCCAACCTGAGACTACTACATAGGCCTAGGATGCCCCCAAAAGTACAATCTTTATAGGCTAGAATGAAGAGAAAGAGGTGTTACAGAAAAGTAGGCAGGGAGAGGTTGTGAAAAAAGAAAACAAAGGAATTGAAAAGGAAAAGAAAACTGAAAAAAAGAAAAACTATTCATAATACCAGACTTATCATCTTATATCACTTTTTTTTAAGAGAGAGAGAGAGATAATTTTTTAAATATTTATTTTTAGTTTTTGGTGGACACAACATCTTTATTTTATTTGTATGTGTACTGAGGATCAGACCCAGCGCCTCTCGAATGCCAGGCGAGCTTGCTACCGCTTGAGCCACATCCCCAGCCCCATCTTATATCACTTTAATCCTGCTTTTTCCATTGGTCATCTCCAGCTAATTTTTGTTTTCCTCTGAAACTTTTTTTAAAGGTATTTTCTCTTTTAATGCACAGGATTGTTTCCAATTCATCATGACTAGTGCAAATCCTTAGTCACAATTTAATATGGAACAACTAGGCAGCCCTTCCTGAAGAATCTGGCCAAAAGCAGAAGCAAATGTTCTGTAGGGTTAGCTCTGACCTGCTGTGAGAGGCTCTCTCTCTGCAGTGAATATGTACCTTACAGCAGAATGGAGGCTCAGAAGTCCTTGTTCTTAAAAATCACACTATCTAGGTAGTAGTTTACCATTTATTCTCATCCAGCCCATTTGGATCTTCATTTTGGGGGCTGGGGGTGCTGGGGATTGAACCCAAGGGCACTTTATCACTGAGCCATATCCCCAGTCCTTTTTGTTTTTAATTTTGAGACAGGATATCACAAAGTTACTTAGGGATACTTAAGTTGCTGAGGCTGACCTTGAACTTGCAGTCCTCCTGTTTTAGCTTCCCAAGCCTCTAGGATTACAGAGTGTGCAACACCACACCCTGCTCAGATATAAACTCATCCTTACTTGGGGTTGAGGTTTACTCTAGTTTTCTGGCTCCCACCTAGGCAGGGGGTGCTGGTGTGCTACTGAGGGTCTTCCCTTCACTGGGCAGGTGCTGGAGCCTACATGGTTAGAGCATGAACCAGCCAAGCCAACTCTTCAGACAGCACCATGTGGACCAGCCTTGCAGGGGGCTCAGATCCTTGAAACAAGAGTCACCATTGCCATGAGGAAATGCATCTTACTGCCTGGTGGGACAGTACAATCTCCACTCTCATTATACAACTCCAGTACCTCAGGGCTTGGGCCAGCTCCAACTTTGCAGAATGACTGCCTCCAATGGACCTATGGGACAGACACAGGTGGCCATGGAGATTAGGCACTGGGCCAGTCAGTCATCCAGCTGAGCCTCCACTGCTGCAGCTCCACTGAGCTCTCTAAAATGTTTGTGTAATGGCAGAGTATGGTGGTCCACGCATATAATCCCAGTGATTTGAGAGAGTAAGGCAAGAGAATCCCAAGTTCAAGGCCAACTTCAGCAATTTACTAAGACCATGTCTCAAAATAAAACAGAAGAGCTGGGGGAATGTGGCTTAGTAATAGAGTATCTCTGGGTCCAATCCCCAGTTCAAAAAACAAATTGGTGTAACAATGTAGAAAATCCTCAAAATGTTGAAAATATAATTACATGTGGACCAGCAATCTAGATTCATTACAGCATTATTCACAATAGCCAAAAAGTGGAAGCAACCCAAATGTCCAACCCAAATGATGGATAAATGGATAAGCAAAAGGTATTACATGTACAAATGAGGTATTATTCAGCCTTCAAAGGCTAGAACATTCTAATGTATGCCACGACTTGGTGAAGCCTGAGGAAATTATGCTAAGTGGAATAAGCCAGTCACAAAAAGACAAATTTTGTATGATTCCACTTACATGAGGTACTTGGAGCAACCAAATTCATAGAGACAAAGTAAAATGGTGGTTGTTACAGGCTGGGGACATAGGAGAAAGGGGAGTTATTATTTAATGTTTTGCAAGATGAAAAGAATTATGAAGATCAGTTGCACACAATGTGTATACTTCACAGTCCTGAACTGCACACTTAAAAATGATTAAGATGAGCTGGGTGTGGTGGCCGTGGCACACACTTGTAATCCCAGCAGCCTGGGAGGTTGAGGCAAAAGATGGCAAGTTCAAGACCAGCCTCAGCAATTTAGCGAAACCCTGAGCAACTTTGTGAAACCCTGTCTCCAAATAAAAAATGAAAAAGGCCCCTGAGTTCTCTCCCCAATTAAAAAAAAAATGATTGGGGATATAGCTCAGTGGCAAAGCACTCCTGGATTCAATTTCCAGTAGCTGCCCTCCCCCCAAAAAAATGAGAGAGAAAGAAAAAATAATTAGGATTTTTTTTGCACTGCTGGTTATTAAATCCAAGGCCTTGCACATTATAAGTAATCATTCTATCACTGAGCTTCGTAAGGTGGTAACTTTTATGTTATGTATATTTACCATAGTTTAAAAATTCAAACACAAAAACTAGGGGAACACTTAACATTTCTCAAACTTGTTCCTGTGTATGCAACTCTTTGAAGATGATAGTATATCCAAAATCCTGCTCAGTGTAAGCTTTGAAAGGAGAGAGATCAATTTTTCCCTAAAGTATGTGACCAGAGAAGATAAAGTCTTGAAGAACCACAAAAGATTAAGTCGGAATCTCAGCTATGTGGGAGGATGAGGCAGGAGGACTAGAGTTCAAGACCAGCCTGGACAACTTAACAAGACCTGGGTAGGGAGGGCAAGTGAGGCGAGGGGAGTTGGAAGTTCTTAGGAGAAATAATGTGAAATGCAGGAGAGCCTGCCACAGTGTTGCTATGTGGTGGCTGTGACAGGCACTGCCTGTGTCCTGCAAAGACAATCTGAAAGCAGAAGGAGGAAGAGTGTTTGCTCATCAGCCGGAGTTGGTTCTGTGCCACAGCCAGTGGAGAATGGAAAAAGGAAAAACCATTTGTTGTGACTCTAAGAGGGCAATTACAATAGCAGGTGTTAAACAGGAAGAACCAGAAAAACAGTTCTTGAAGCCTCATTCAGCAGCTCTGGAGGGAAAAAAAATGCCTAGAAGGGCTCAAAGACTGAAGTTTTGAAAGCAAAGATGACAGAAGGAACAATAGGCAAGTATCAGCCTGAGGATTCTAGCAGCCAGGGATAGAAGCTGAGGAGACACTGTGATATGGATCAAAGTCTCTCTTGATTCCTTGGTTGCCAGGTGGTGCTCTGGCCATGGCCTTGGCTCATGACAATGAAAGAGGAGCCAAACAAACAATCAAGAGGAAACTTAAGCTTCACTGGGGTTCTGTTTCAAAGTAACTCCGACCAACTGCCACTCTGAGATGACTTCTCTCATAGCAATGTCCCAACCAGGCACTGTAACCATGGAGGCCCTATTTGATGCACAGATGAAAACTACCTGTCTGGCTCATGAATTCAATTCACCTGATTCCCTTTTCCAGTTCCCCCCCCCAAAAAAAAATCACCTTAATAAATTTAAAATGGTATAGGTTTCCCTGGATCTTGCTAAAGGGGATTTCCTTTAAAGTATTTTCAATGTTGTTTCCTTTCTCTAGTTTTTGTTCTTGTTGTTTTCAGTGTTCTTTTTGCATTGTGGTCAATTATTTATAACATAACAGCACTTTAACAATGTTTGAGTGTGCATTCAGTGACTTTAAATACAATCACAATGTTGCAAAACTATCACAAATATCTATTTCCGAAACTTTCATGACCCCAGTTAGAAAATTGCACACATTAAATAGTAACACCCCAGGCCCCAGTAACCTGTAATCTCCTTTCTGGCTCTATGAATATGCCTATTCTACTTGAGATAAATAGAATAATCTAATATTTGTACTTTTGTGTCTGGCTTATTTCACTTAGCATGTTTTCCAGGTTCATCCACATTATAACATATATCAGAATTTTTTTTTAACCAGGAATTGAACCCAGGACCTCATATATTCGAGGTAAACACTCTGTCATTGAGCAAAATCTCCAGCCCCTTTTCAAATTTTGTTTTGAGATAGAGTCTTGTCAAGTTGTCCAGGCTGGCCTTGAATTTGCAATCCTCCTGCCTCATTCTCCCTAGCAGCTGTGATTACAGGCCCATGCCACCATGCCTGACTAGAATTTAATTCCTTTTCAAGACTGAACAATATTCCATTGTATGCATACACCGTAATTAATTTATCTATTCACTTACCCATTTAGTCATCTATCCATTGATAGACATTTAAATTGTTTCTAACTTGTGGCTATTGTGACTAATGTTTCTCTGAACATTGGTGTATAGGTATCTGTTTGAATCTCTGCTTTCAATTTTTTTGGATATATACCTAGGAATGAAATTGCTGAATCATGATAATTCTAGATGTAACTTTCTGAGGAACCATGGAAAATTTTTCTATAGCAGCGGCACCATTTTACATTTCTACTAACAATGCATAAAGGCTATAGTTTCTCTAGATCTTCACCACGTTTGTATTTTTATTTGTTTGATAATTGCTATCCTTTTATGGGTCTGAAGTGATAACTCACTGTGATTTTAATTTGTTGTAATGACTAGTGACAGGTGCATCTTTTTATATATTTATTGGCCATCTGCTTGTCTTTTCTGGAGAAATTTCTATTCAAGTCCCATGATCGGTTTTTGTTTTGTTTTTTAAGCAGTTTCAAAGGGGTAGAGAAGGGGTAGTTCTCACTGGTGCATCAAAGGGAGTGTTTTAATCAGTTTTTTCACTTCTATGACTGAAAGACCTGACCAGAACAACTGGAGAGGAGGAAAGATCTATTTAAGGGCTCTCAATCCATAGACAGCAGGCTCCATTCCTTGGGGCTCCAGGTGAGGCAGGACATCATGGTGGAAGAGTGTGCCAGAGAAACCAGCTCACAAGATGATCAGAAAGAAGAGAGAGACTTCATTTGCCAGATACAAATATATACCCCACAGCCACTGCCCCAATTCCTACCTCCTTCAGCCACACCCTGCCACTTCAATTACCACTCAGTTAATCCCAATCAGGGGATTAATTCACTGATTGGGTTAAGACTCTCACAATCTAATCATTTCTCTTTTGAAACGTCTTGCATTGTCTCACACATGAGCTTTTGGGGACATCTCACATCCAAACCATAACAGGCTGCATCCATAGTTACCCAGTGTGATAGTGACAATGCTTTGAGAAGTTATTTCAGGTTGGTAGTTGACTGAGGCTACTCTGTTCAGTGTTAGAATTTCTTTACAGTCCTGATTATTAATCCCTATCAGATATATGACTTGTAATATTTTCTCCTGTTTGATGGATTGTCTTTTTACTCACTTGTTAGTATTTTTTGTTGTACAAACATTTTTAATTTTGATGAAGTCAAGTGTATCTTCTTTTTTTCTTTAATTGCTTGGATTTTGGTGTCATACACAAGAAATTATTAACTAATCTAATGCCATGCAAATTTTCCCCTATATTTTCTTCTAAGAATTTTATAGTTTTAGCTCTTATGTTTAGGTCTTTGATCATTTGAGTTAATTTTTATATATGCTGCAAAGTATGGATCCAACTTCATTCTTTTATATGTGGATATCCAATTTTCCCAGTGCTTTAGTTGAAAAGACTATTCTTTCCCAGGTGTGCGCTCTCTCTCTCATATATATATATACATACATACATATATATATATATATATATATGTTTTAGATGGACAAATCTAAATATTTGTGATTTTATTCTCCCTGCTAGTCAGAAAAGGGAGGGTTACTTAAATTATAATATATAAGAAACACAGGTTAAAGTTAAGTAAATATAGTAATGAATCCAGGTAACTATTTATAGAACACTATTAATATTGCAAATCCAGTTTTATCTAATTGATGGTGTCCTATTGCTCCAGCCAAAATAATTCCCTTCTATCATTGAGCTCTTACATTGATCTCTTAGCATTCATTGTCTATAATACTGTTTTTTTCTTTTCTTTTTTGCGGGATGGCGGCAGGGTACTGGAGATTGAACTCAGGGGTACTTGACCAGAGTCACACCCCCAGCCTTATTTTGGTCTACTATTACTCCAGCTACTACTGAGACAACCAACTCTTTTTTTTTTTTAAGGTACTGGGAATTGAACCCAGGACCTCAAGCATGTTAGGCTTAGGCAAGTGCTCTACCACTGAGATAACTCCCAATCCAACAACCAACTTTTCTTGGGCATGATTCTTGTGTTCTGCCACAGAATTCAGAGCCCAAAGTAGGGGATGCCCACAAAACCCACTCATCACTCATGCATATACAACCTAGCAGTGCAGGGGGGATTCAGTGCCTCATG